AATGATTCTGTGTTGAGAAAACTGCTTGCCAATCTAAGCAACATTACTATAAGTTAATTCTGAATAAGGACTAACTCCACATGGCACACTGAGTCCAGCCAGTTCTTGCCATGTGAAACCATGGACCGTTCTCTTGTAAGCTTAGTTTGCAAAGGCCTGGGCCTCGGAATCTGACATGTTCTCTATGACATGACCAGACTGAGTTCTTGGATCAACAAGTTACAGATCATAGCAATGCTTGACAGAGCATAACACAATGTCTGTTAGAAAGACAGAGGCTATTATTTCACACCTCTACTAAATAATGCATGGCAGATAGGTTGAGTCCATCTACCTATGTATTTATCTGCTTATTTAGAGACAGAGTCTCACTCTGCAGCCCAGGCTGGCCTGGAACTTGCTATCCAGACAGGAGTGACCTCAAATTTACAGAGATCTGTAAATTTGCCTCTGATTTTGAAGTGCTGAGATTGAAGGTTTGTGTCACCATGCATGACTATTTATTTTACTTAACTAAGTAAGTAAATTTTATGATACTAAGGATTCAACTAGGGAAGCTCCTGGAAGCTAACAGTATGTTATCCAGTCCACAATACAATTTTGTTTTTTTAAAAATAGTCTTTGTTAGGGTTTTATTGCTGTGAATAGACACAATGACCATGTGTCTACATGATTAACTTCACCAAACTAACTGGGTGCATGGCAATGAGTAGGAGGTCACTGTATTCACAGTTAAATTAGTTGAAGAAGCTTAAGGTATATCACATGGTTGCACTCCATAACAGAAACCAGGGGTTGGCTAAATCTTCCTGCTAAGCTCTCCCAATGAAGCTAGGAAGAAGCTGGGCTCTCACTTCTTTCCCTTCCTTCTTGGCAGGTCTAAGTCATTGTGTGACACTTTTTTTTGCATATTGAATCACTTTATTTAATCATTAAAAAGGGAAGTACAGCTCACAGATAATAAGAAGTGGAAGAAAATGTAAGCCATAAAATTGAGGTGTGGTATCTTGACATCACAGGAGTGGGGAAAATTCATTTAGACAGAAAAGATGGATTACAGGCAATACTGATTCCACGGTCAAGAGGATATGATGCATATTTCTCAATCTGTTGTTAACTACAGTAGTAGGTCATAGGACAAGTATCTGTAGTCAGAACTTCTCAAATGTTTTCTGGAGGAATTTTCTGTTCCTTAGCAAGTTATTCAAGTCTTCCATATTGGTCATTTGTCAATGTGTGATCTTTTCCTACAGTGCATGAATGACAATGACAGGGATATGTTCATTAGAATTTTTCAGATTTTGTATTGATTCCTTAGTGTCTTACCCTGATACACAATGAAAAATACCAACTTCTCCAAATTCATCTACCCTGGTTGGTCAATACTGTCAATAATAATTTTCCCCAAGATCCTGGAAGTCTATTTAATGAAGTCTAAATAGTGGTATGACATCACTTTCCACTGTTTCATGATGCATCCGAAAACAAGAATTCTTTTCTAGAGAATTTACTCATCTGGATCCTATCCACTTCCAAAAACAGAACACTATAGAGTTGTGAATGCTTGTGTGTGACACTTTTATAACCAATCTAATGTGAAGTCTTTGGGAAACCTTTGGTAAAACTTTTTTCTTTGTTGATTAAAAGAGAATACCATCATAAGGGAGGTAAATTTTTTCACCACCATTCCATTGCCCACTTTCTGCCTTGATGCCATTTGGAATAACAGCATCCATATGCTGTGATAATGGGGAAGATGAATGGGTGGGAAATTATCAACAACTAACAAACACAGCAGACATAAAAGACCTGGTGAGGCTGGGGAGACCAAGCCAATGCTGGAAACTACCTAATTCTGCACTGTTTCAGCATCTCTCAAGTGATATGCTTTAAAATTTGCTATTAAAGCTGTTCTCAAATAAATATATAGTTTTATAAATATCATATTCCTTTGGTGGAGCACATGTCTTCCATAAGCAGCTGCTGAGAGATCTCTTCACTGGCTGGCACAAGTACATCTGACAACCCCCACAACGTGGTTCCACCTTTCCTCTAGGCCAGCATGTAGCAAAGGCCCTGTACTGCTTTAGACATCTAACAATAAGTCTTTCTGCCAAGCTGTCCAAGCCCTGATGCCACGTGGGTGCTTTCTGCCAGGCCACCCAAGTTCTGCCTGCTGCCACATTAAGGTCCCAAGTAACACACAGAGACTTATATTAGGTACAGATGCTGCTTGGCCAATGACTAGGATTTCTCATCTGCTAGCTCAGTCTTAATTATCATAAATCTATATATTTTATAAGACGTATCTTGTTGGATGCCAGCTGCAAGTGTCCTGTCTTCCTGGGCTCACGTGGTGACCTGCGCTTTCTCCTACCTTTCCCAGAATCCTCCTTGACTCCTAGTCCCACCCATCTTGCTTTCCTATTGGCCAACAGTACTTTATTTATCAACCAATAAGACAATCATATACACAGAAGGACCTCCCCCATCAGACGTCTGTCCTCAGAGCATGTCTGAATGCACACCTGCGTCTGGCACCCAGCACAGACCATGGTGTCCAAAGCTGTTGGAAAATATGTGGGATGGATGAAAAACACAGCACTGTCACTTTCCTCAGCAATACCTTGCTCCACTCCTTTTCCTTTTGCAATTGAATTTTAATTGAAACACCCATCATGGGTTGTTTTAAAAGGACTTAAAAAACAAGACTTGAAAAGATTAAGCAAGATGTGGTGATCCACACCTGTAAATCTCGGATGTCAGGAGAAAGAAGCAGGAGGATCACAAGTCAGAGGCTAGGCTGGGCTACAAAGCAAGACTTCCTCTCTCTCCCTCTCTCTGTCTCTGTCTCTGTCTCTCTCTCTCTCTCTCCCTCTCTCTGTCTCTGTCTCTGTCTCTCTCTCTCTCTCTCCCTGTCTCTGTCTCTGTCTCTCTCTCTCTCTCTCCCTGTCTCTGTCTCTGTCTCTCTCTCTGTCTCTCTCTCTCCATATATATATGTTATATATACACATATATATGCAAGCAGGGAATAAAATATGGATGAATAACACCTGGTAAATTAGGAGCTAGAGAGATGCTTCAATCAGCAAAGTTCTTGTTTAACAAGCATGAGGACCTGAGTTCAGATTCTCATATGCCACATACAAAAGCTTGGTATGGTGGCACACACTTGCAATGTCAGTGCTTGGGAGGTAGAGACAGACAGATCCCTGGGGCTCCCTGGTCTGAAAGCCTACTTAAATCAAAGAGTTCCAGGTTGGTGAGAGATCCTCAGATGGATGGCATCTGAGGAATGGCACCTGAGGCTGACCTCTGACCTCTACAACCATGCTCTCATGGGGGCACATGCACAGATACACACAAAGCAATTGGATCCTAAGAGGCTGCCATTGGTCTCTGCCAGGAGATGACGAGATCTAGTTGGTTGTCACAGCACAAGACATAAAAGGCAAAGTTTGCAGGTTGGTGGGTTCAAATCACAGCTCCACCCCTCACTTCTTAGATGCTCATAAGTAAGCGTCTCTATGAACCCCACTCTTTACTCTAAACTGGGCCCAGTTTCTAGCTCAGGAAGCGATGTGAGGGTCAGAGAACGAAACCTGTAAACTTTTTATAGAAGACATATCATAAAGTGCCTGTATGATTTAGATATTGTTGCTTTTCCTCTCAGGTACTATCTGGAAACTGTTTTTAATTTTTTTCAGTGTATCACATACATCTAATCTCTGGCACTACAAAGGCCTTCAATACTTAATTAAGAAATTTAAAAAGTAGTTTATGAAAGGCCAACATATCTGATATCCCAGCATCTTAGAGCCCGGGATCCAGATAACAGTGGCCTGAAGGTTCTGTGCAGTGCAGTTCTTTCGGTTAGCCCTCATAGTACCCCAGTTTTCTTAACCAGAAAATGGAAATAATAATAGTATTTTCCCTTCCAAGAAGTGGAGTTAGTGAATGAGTTTTATTTGCTGTCTGACAAATAGCATCAAGGGCATAATCGTTGGAGATTTTTAAAAATTTCTTTTTATTGATATATTTGTCTCTGTGTGAGTATGGGCACTTGCAGGGGGCATCAGATCACATAGAGCTGGAGTTACAGGTGTTTGTGAGCTACCTGACGTGAATGCTGGGAACTGAACCGGAGTACCCTGCAAGGGCAGCAAATGCTCTTAACTTCTGGGTCATCTTTTCAGATGGGTCTTTCTTTGGGTTGCCAGCTTAAAAAAAGACATGGAGACATTAATAATTATGAAAGCTCAGCCTATAGCTTAGGCTTGCCCCACTAGATCTTGTAACTTAACCCATTTCTATTCATCTACCTGTTGCCATGTGACTCATGGCTTTTACTCCCTCAGCATCTCACGCTCTCTCTCTCTCTGAGTCCAGCTCCTGACTCCACCTCTCTTCTCCCCAGTGCTCTCTCTGTCCAGAAGTCCCTGCTATACGTCCTGCCTTGCTACTGACCATTTAGCTTTTTATGAAACCAATCACAGAGACACATCTTTACATAGTGTAAAGGAATATTCCACAATGCTAACTTGGGCCTTACAATCAGCCCTCCAGGAAGTTTAATTTACTGCATTAAATAAAAGTGTGCATTTTATTGAAGTGTCCCTGTTTTGTCTCTTAGACCCTTTTAAAATCCTCAGATTTTCAGTTAATCACTGGGCAAATGGGATTCTTCCTTCTGCCTCACTGTGAGCATTAATATGCTAAGTTTTTGTTTTTGTTTTTGTTTTTGTTTATCAAGGACTACATCAGTTCTCAATGAAAAAAGTAAATTGTTCCACATAAGGACAATTATTCTCATTTGAAAAATGCCAAAATAATTAGTTGTGTAAATGCATTTTGCAGATTGGATATGGGTAGATCGTTCTGTGAGCTCTGGTTAAGATGAACTCTGGGCCCATTCTTCTGTAGCCAGTGATGATGCATAGATGATGCACAGAGGCATTTCCATGTTTCCTTGGAAACCCCAGAAGCAGCACTTCCTGGCAGCCCACAGCAGCAAGCATCTCCCATCTTTCTACAACTATGAAAGGATTACAGGAGTTGAGTGACAGACCTTCATGGAGACCTAGGAAGTCAACATGTCAAGGAATACTCACTCACATGGAGAGTCAGCTGCCCTGACACAGTGCTCACAGGGGTTCATGTGCTCCAGACAGTCGACTGCCAGAGGAATAACATCAGTGGGAAAGAGGCAGATCTCTTGCAGGTAGATTGCAATGGTCTGAGAGGGGAATTTTACTGGAGGAAAACTAGCCATAAAGAAGCAATGGGAAATTTGGACTCCCAGGGTAGGGATGGCAGAGTACTTTCTGTTTCCCTCCCTAGTGACCATGCCACCCTCCCTGGGGATAATGTTTTCTCTTTACGGTGACAGATTACCCTTATTCAAGCAAATTAAAGAAGGAGGGGTTGATTTGGGTTCATGATCTCTGTGGGTGTGGCCATCCTGGCAGGAAGGGGCAATGGGGAGGCCTGTGGCTTGGCTTGTTCACATCTCTGACCAATCAGGAAAGCAGAGATGGGACTGAAAACAAGGAATGGTGGCCTCTAAGCTTCAAAGTTTGGCATTATTTGCCTATATTTTACTGATAGGTCCTAGGTAGTAAAGGTGTTATAACCACCCAAGACAATGCAACAGCTAGGACCAACTATTCAAACACATGAGCCCATAGGAGCATTTCTCATTCTGATCATAACAGACACCACAGGCTCAATATCTTTGATGGTGGCAAGTGAGATGTATCTTCCATGTGGGTCACACAGTTCTCTGAGGGAAGAGGGACAACCAATGAGCCAGGCTCAGCCAGAGAATTTGATGAACTAGTTCAAGAAGTTAGTTTTCTTGTGTGGATGCTAAGCTGGTAGGCTATGCCAAGGTCTTCTGGGGACATTCAAAGATGAGTCAACACAAGAGTGCAAGACCAACACAGTGGACAGGAAGCAAGAAGGTGAGGAGATCTATTAACCAGGTCATTGCTTGAGAACATGCAGCCAGCCATGAATCCTCAGAATTTTTCAGTTATAAATCTGGTAAACCCCCCTTAGTCTAAGCTGGTTTGAATTAGTTTCCATCACTTACAACTGCAAAAACAAAACAAAAGCAACTCTGACTCATAACTGACGTACAGGAAAAGCCATGCCGATTTATAATATACTGTACTTTTACTTCAACACATCTAGAATATTTAATGTTGGTCTATGTTGCTTAACATAGATAATTAATATCTATGTTAATACAACATAGATAATTAATATCTATGTTGGTCTATGCTGCTCATATTTCCTCAAGTACTTCCCCACAAACTCATGGTATTTGATTAGACAAACAGAGTTTACTCATACAATAAGGGAGCAGAGTGTTTGAAAATCACAGCTATATCAAAAACCTGGAACACTTGAGCAAGCACACTTCCTGGTAGTAATGATCACACAAGCTTGGCTACCCTAGAGAACTCTTAAAGCATGCCTTTCAAAGTCACATTCTTCCGTTTAGTAATCAGGCTAAAAATAACCTGCCTACAATGTCTGGCTAATGACTGAAACACATTGTCCCAGAAACCCTTGTACCAATTATCTGCACTAGGCTCTAAGCTGGGCTGCCAATATTTGGACCTTGTAGAAAGAGCACCATGCAGAATCATTTTACACACCCAACTCTTTCTATCCCTTGACTGTCTCTATATGGTTGTCTTCTGGCCTCTAACCAGTAACTTCATTCCTCAGTATCTTAGTAAACTTGTGTGGCCTTACAGTGGTGACATCGTATACCTTATGGAAAGGTTTATCTGGAAGTGGTGCAAAATCAGGTTTGTCCACTCTATCCTGTTATATAAGCCCAGGACATGGGTAGTTCATAGCTAATCCACCTGCAACTCTTAAAAGGGGCTCCCAGAGTGGGCTCTGCTGGCACTGATAGCAAGATTTGTGTTGCTTTTGTCATCCACAGGGCCATTACTGTATTCAGCTCTTACTGGGTACCAGACTCCATGTTAAATGTTTTACAACAGCCATTAAGTAAGTATTCACAAACCCTCATGACATTATATCTATTGGTGTCTCCAATTCATTCTTGAGAAAACTAAAACTCAAAGCAGCTGAGCGAAATTAAGATTATACTCCGCATAAATTGGGAGTCAGATCCAGGTTTCAGATCATTTCCCCTGCAATCCATAAGCAGGGATTTTGTTTTGTTTGTTTGTTTGTTTGTTTTTTGGTATCTTTTCTCGGTCTTTTTCTGATTACAGGAAGTCACTGTGGCAAAGCTGCTGTAACTGGTAACCCTTCATTTACTGGGTGCTTGGAATTAATAGTGTGATAGATATTTCCACTCTTTGTGTGAAACGTTGTTGGATGTTTGTGCACTGTGTGAAAATGTATTGCTGTGATTGGTGTAATAAAAAACTGAATGGCCAATAGCTGGGCAGGAGAGAGAGAGAGAGAGAACTGTAGGAAGAAGTCAGTTGCAGAGGAAGAAGCATGAACAGTACTGAGAGATGAGGTAATGAGCCATGCAGCAGGATGTAGATTAAAATAAATAGGTTAATTTAAGTTATAAGAGCTAGTGGGACAAGTCTAAGCTAAGGCTGAGCTTTCATAATTAATAATAAGTCTCTGTGTTGTTATTTGGGAGCTGGCTCTTCAGAGAAAAACTAGTTACAGTGGGGAATATTTGCAAGTGTTCATGTGTGTGTTCATGTTGGAGTGTATGTGGATGCACTTGTGTGCATAAGGATGTGTACATGTGTGTACTTATGCATGAAGAGGCTGGAGGACAACTTCAGATCTTATTTTTGCAGTACCATCCACCTGTGTTGGTTGTAGTTTTCTGAAATGGTCTCCATCTGTTGTTAAAAGACGTTTCCTTGTTGAGAAATGAGGACTACACTTATCTGTGTATATAAGGAGAAATATTTAGAATGTAGTTAGGGATCAGGGTTGTCCAAGAGACTCCAAAAACATAGACCATTGCTATTGGCCCTCCTTATCTAGAGGAAGAAGCTAAGTCCCTGTCTTAGTTACTTTCCTATCGCCATGACAAAGCACCATGATCAACGCATAAAAGAAAGCATTTAATTTGGGGACTCAGAGTTCCAGAGGGTTAGCATCCATGACCATCATGGTCAGGAACATGGCAGCAGGCAGGCCAGCATGTTGCTGGGGCAGTTGCTGAGAGCTTTTATATTATCCACAAGCAGGAGGCAGAGAAGGCTGAGAATGGCTTGGACTTTTGATACCTCAAACCCTATGTCCAGTGACACACCTCTGTCAAAAAAAAGCCACACTTCCTTATCCCTTCTCACACAGTTCTACCACTGTGACGAAAAATTCAGATCTATGAGCCAATGGAGGTCATTCTTATTCAAACGACTGCATTCTATTCGCTGGCCCCCAGAGGCTCATGGTCACATCAGCAGCAGCATAATAAGGATAAAAAGCATTTAGTTCAACTTCAGAAACCCCAGTAGTTTTTCACAATCTCTGCAAAGTTTAAAAGTTCAAAGTCTCTTCGGAGACTCAAGGCACTCTCTTAATTATAACCCCTTATAAAAATCAAAAAGCAAATTACATACTTCCAACATATAATGGCACAAAATATATATTACCATAAGGGAGGAAAGGGGACATAGTGAGGAAATGTTGGACCGAAGCAAGAGTGAAACCCAGCAGGAAAACCTAAATCCTGAAGCTTCATGTTGGATGATAGTGGGCTTGGGTGGCTCTTTCCTTACAGCTTTGCTGACTGTAACACGCTTCTCTCTCTTAGGCTGGTTCTACGTCCTGTCCGCACCTCTCCTTGACAGATATCGCACAGCTCTGGTATCTCCAACATCTTTGGATCTCTAACACAATTCAGGCTTCACTTCACAATGGTGTCTCTGGACCCATGTGCAGAGGGACTCCCCCGACTGCACAGGTCTGGCTTCAGTGGCTCTCCTTAACCACAGGGAAGATTCCACAAGCCCTTTGCTTCTGTATCCTTCATGACTCTAAACTCAGAACCATGAGGCAGAAGCTGTTAGGCTCCACTCCTTGTTTGTGCTAGAACCTCGATGCCTCCTTGAATTGCATTTGCATAAGATTTGTTTTGGTTTTTGCTTTAGTAACAGTTATCCTTAGGCATTTTCATATTACAAGGTGGAAGTTTAGCCCTGGGTGGGGTCTTGCCCTGAGGTTACCACTCCCTTTATTGCATTTCCCATCAAGCCTCTCATTTCCTTCAGCATAAGCCTTGGCTCCAATGTTAAATTTCCTGGATGGCCTTTTTCTCCTTCAACTGTACATTTTTTGTTTCTTTTTGCACTACTTGCTCTTTTTCATTGTAGATCTTCATAAGAGTGATTACTAATAACCAAGTGACAGAGCTATTATCAGGCTGTCTTGAAATCTCTGCCAGTGAAATTAGTCCAAAACTCTCCAGTTTAGTGTCGGGTAGCTTATTAAGACGAGGGCAAAAAGCAGCCACATTCTTTGCCCCATTACTAATGTTAGTCCCCACTGAAACCTCTTGAGCATGGCCTCCTCCATAGTCAACATTGCTCTTAGCATGACCATCTCCAAAGCTTCTAATGATAATGACCAATTAAGCCCTGCTTACAGAGTTCAACTGTTTTCCTAGCCCCAAATCCCAAAGCCTTCCACATTCCTCCCAAATACAGCATGGTACAGCCTGTCACAGCAATAGCCTACTCCCTGGCATAAGCTTCTTGCTTAGTTACTCTTTTACTACTGGGACAAAACACAATTGTTAGTATTCAGGCATCTGCACTGGCCTGTCCTTGGGGTTCTGACAGGATATGCCCTTAGCTGAAGCTACTAAGAGCACCACTACGATTTCTTTTAAAAGAGCCCTTCCCACCTCCCATCTTCCTCCCTCCCTCCCTCCCTCCCTCCCTCCCTCTCTCTCTCTCTCTCTCTCTCTCAATTTGTTTTTCTGCCTGTCTCTCTGTCTCTCTGTGTGTGTCTCTCTCTCCTCTTCTGCTGCTCCTGACCCCATAGGCTGGTCTCCCCTCCTCCCTTTCCCCTTTTCCCATTCACGTCCCCCCAATAAAAAAAAAAAAAACCTCCACCCAAGCTGTCCCATGGTGTCTTTCTCTTGAGGACTACTCTTGAGGACTGTTTTTTTTTTGTTGTTGTTGTTTTGTTTTTTTTTTAATTACTACAACAACAATGACCAAAGCAACTTATAGAAGAAAGAGTTTCAGAGGGTGAGTCCATGACCATCATGGTCAGGGAATCCGGCAGCAGCCGGGCAGGCTTGGTGCTAGAGCAATAGCTGAGAGCTACATCTTGATCCACAGGAAGGAGGCAAAGAGTGAGCGATAACTGGGAATGATGTGGGCCTTTGAACTCTCAAAGCACACCCTCAGGGATGGCCACCAGCCTATGGGGGCCAGCAAATAGAATCTGCTGGTTTTAATGAGAATGGCTTCCATAGGCTCATGTGTTTAAATGCTTGGTCTCTAATTGCTAGAACCGTCTGGGAAGGATTAGGAAGTATGGCCTTGATGGATAGGTGTGTCAATGCGGTGGGCTTTGAGGTTTCAAAAGCCAGACATATTCCCAATTGTCTTTCTCTCTGCCTTATGATGTCTCTCTATGTGAGCCCAAATTTGTGGCAGCCCTTGGCAATTAGTCAGAAATGCAGATCTGGGGCCATATCTCAGATCTATCAAGGCTCTGGAAGATGCTCCTGCACACAGAAATAACTTCAGAAGGGATACAATGTGGCCAGTCTGTAGTTGGAAGTTTTTCTCTGTCTCACTGGCCCACTGGATCCCTGGATCCCCTTTGAAATAACACTCTGAGGCTTAATATCAATTACAATTGTTTGGCCAATGGCTCAGACATATTACTGGCTCTCTCTCTCTCTCTCTCTCTCTCTCTCTCTCTCTCTCTCTCTTATAAATTAACCCATTATTTGAATTAGAAACAAGATGGAGTTACATGACAATCCCAGTTCTCTTCTCCCCCCCTCCCTTACCACACCCACAACTAAAACCCTACCTATCACATAGCCTTTCTTCTATTCTTCCCCTGACTCAACCTTCCTGCTCCCTCATGACCTCTGCATCCTTCCTCTTCTTCCCTTCTCATTCTCACAGCTACCTCCCCTCTTCCCATGCTCTCAATTTGCTCAGGGGATCATGACCCTTCCCCCTTCTCCAGGGGAAGCTCTCTCTTATAAATTAACACATTTCTATTAATGTATGTATTGACATGAGGCTGTGGCTTACTGGTACAGCTACATGGCATCTCTTGACTCTACCTACTTTTTCCTTGTATCTTTTTTGGATTTCTGGCCTACCTGTATTCTCCCTGGCCATTGGCCAAATCAGCTTTATTTATCAACCAGTAAAAGCAACACACATTCACAACATGCAGAAGAACATCCAGCATCACCAATCTCAGTGTCACAGGAAATGATGATATCAAAGCAAGTAGACTCCTGCCATATCTGCCATTCAGTAGCTCAAACTTTCTTATGGCAGGGGGGCCTGGGTAGGTGTCCTTGGCTAGGAGAGATCTGTACCCACCACCTCTGTAATGCAGTATCTGGGATAACACTTTCCAAATCACACTCATCAAATACCAGGCTTCAGTCATCCTGAGCCTCTTGGGGATAGGGAGTGTGTAAGGCTACCTGTCAAAGCTGGGCCTCCAAGTTACACATCCACTTCAAACAGAGTTCCTATGCTTTGATCAGGTTTAGAAATTGGAATTACAGTTTGATTTCCTCTGAAAAGAAGTTTTATCTGCTTTACTTTTGCTTCTCAGTCAACCTGTGCTGTTGCGCATTGTCCACCAGCCATGTTAGCATGGTCCTCAAATCACTTAAGTCATGGGCTTAGGGAATGAACCTGCTGCTATTTTCTATGCACTTCCCTTGGGGTACAGATGTGACCTTTAAAATGCCAAAACCTCTGTTCCCAAGAGGACTGCTAAGTAACTTTCCTGTCTTATTTTATAACATGTATTATCCAAGAAAGATACTAATGTGGAAAATTCTGAATTTGGCGTATATACCGCTTCTGGTTTGCCCTCCAGCAAAAGCCCTGTGTACTTTTTCCTTATAAAACAGTCCCACCAGGCAATGTGAATTTGAAGCTTCGGGTCAACCCCAGCAGTGCAGTTTTACCCCTAGACTAAGCATTTGGTGGGACATCTTTAGTAATTAACATTAGCTTGTGAGTCTACTGTTATAATCCTTCAGAATTTGCTCAAGAAGGATGCTATATGAGGAACAGGAGAAAAATGCATCCAGTTTTGGTAACAGACAGGGATAGTTCTCAACTGGGATGAACAGAGATGAATCAGCAGGGGGGCTTCAGGCAAGCTGTTTACCGGAAACCTAAGTTCCAGTTAGTTTCCAGGAATTAGAATCCCCAAAGCCCTGACACTGTGAAGGTAACAGTATGACAATTTTTTTTTAAAGTAAAAGTATTAGAGACAATTAGATGCTTTTTAAAGGGAAGGCAAGTGTGACTATTAAATGTAGACACAGCCTTTTTGAGAAGTTGATAGCTCTGCTTTAGGTTCATTCTTGACTCTGAGCAAGAGGCACCTGGGAAGGCCTGTGGGGAGATGGCTCAGCAGGTAAGTGAATACTATGAACGCCTGACAGATGGAGTTCATATCTCCAGAACCTGTGTAACGCTGGGCAGCTTTGGTGGCCCACCTGGAAGCTCAGCACTTGTCATGCTGATGCAGGGGGACCAGAGAAAGAGAAAAAGCTAGATTAGCTGATTGGTGAGCTCTGGGTTCGAATGAAGACCACTGTCTCAATATACAAGATGGAGAGTGAGCTAAGAAGACATTGATCACCAGTTTCTGACCTCTGCATGTGTGTGCACGTTGGTGTAAATACACCACATGCATAGCCCACGTGCACATGAATGCATGAACACTCTCCAAAAAAAATAAAGAAAGAGGAAGAAGGAAAGAAGGAAGGAGCCATGTGTATTCAAAAGCTCAGGGTGGCTAGAGAAAAGTGAACCTGGGAAGGAAATGACACCCTGTCAAGAGTCAAGGACTATATTTGGGTGGTCTTATAAGCCATGAAAAAAGATACAGGAAGCAATAACTTTTCAAATAAGCTTCACTCTGGGAAAATATCTGCACAAAAGACCATGCCATTCCCATAAGCAGTGGCCCATGTTCTAAAAGAGTGCTTTCCAAATTTATATTTCACTTTAGTTTTATAGGGGAGGAAGAGTTGCTAGGTTCCCCTGGGGACACAAGAATTGCCTTGGGAAGGGGTGGAGTTGTGTAAAGTGTGTCACCCCCCCTCATCTATCTGAACCTCTTACACTATAATGCAACCCCTACTCACAGTGAGCAACCTTCCCCTACAAGAGGGGCTACAACCAACAGTGCCTAAATCATATGCATGCTAGGGTAGTCAGGGGAGGGACTCATTCACCCTAACTTGCAGTTCAAATTTCAAGCTTCTCTACTTTATGAAGACAACACCTCAAACACAACACAACCAAAATCCAACTTATCTTTGTCTATAAACAAGTTAGTTTCTTCTCCATTTTTCATGTTAGTAGGTATCAATATGACACCAAACTGGTACAGGCTATGTGTCTGGTCAGTAACCATCATACATCTGAATGAACAACTTAATAAGTGAATAAAGTTCTAGAGCCAAATGAAAAGGGGAATAAGAGAGGGAGGAGGGCTGGAAAGTCATGTGCCGGGCAAGGATGTCTTCAGCACTTCTGAGCCTATTTCACCAAGGCAGACCTCAACCTCACCTGAACATTGGAATTACCTGGGGGTTGAGCAAGACCATGCAGATTCTCCTGCAACCCTAATGTGGTTTGTTGGGGTACACTCCAAAAGTCCAGGTTATTCAAAGATTTCCATGATGAATGTTTTAGGCATCCCAGCTGAAAGCATTTTTTCAGGAGTTACTGAAACTGAAGCCATTATTTCTTGGGCCTCTTGAAATTTCTTTTTGTGCATATGTGTGCAAGTGTGGATTAGTGTGTGTGTGTGTGTGTGTGTGTGTGTGTGTGTACACGAGCGCGTGCGTGCTTGTGCGCTCACATGCATTGTAAAAGTCAGAGAACCAACTTTGGGTATTATTTCTCAAGTATTGCCCATTTTTTTAAAGAGAGAGGGTCTCCCATTAGCCTGGAGCTTGCCAACAAGGCTAGTCTAGCTCACCAGCAAGTCCCAGGTACCCACTTGTCTCTGCTTCTCCAGTACTGAGCCAATGACCTCAGTCAAATTCTAATGCCACCAGGCAATGCTAGTCACAGAAAAAGCCCAGAAAATAACTAATCAAATTCCCACTGATTATGGGAATACCATTGTCTTTAAGAAAAAGTATATGAAACACAGGGGACTGCAGTGACCCAAGAACCTCCCCTCCTGCCTCCTGAAAGCTTGAATTATCACAGAACTTCCTCACGCTCTCAGGACAAAGTTTAAGATTAGACACAGATTACTTTTGTCCAATAAATCTTCATTCACCAGATGCCACCTCATTTTGTTTCACAACTATTGTTTTTATTTACTAGGCTGAAAGAGTCCTGTGAGAAAAAAAAATTGCTTTTAGTTCCAATGAAGAAAGAAAGATCAAAACATGTGCCCTGACCTCCTGACCACTTATAGGTGGTATAGTCATGGAGGCAGCATCCCCTGAGCTTTTTCTATAGCAAATGTGGGCAAACATGTAATCTCTCTTTGTTGATCTGTAAAATGAGCATCACGGTAGGTAGTCTCTGCCCCCCAGAGATTTAATAGAAGTTAAATAAGATGTTGCCTTATCTTGTTTCCTATTAAGTTAGTATGTAGTTGCTTAAGG